GTTATTGTGTGCATTTTTACACATAATCCCAATCGTATCCTTATGCTGTCTTGTGCCTATTCAGGAAAGATGAACTCAAAATAAGATTAGCTAAAAACATTCACCCTGGACCAATCTGACCCAAATTATCTTATCAATATGCCATCTAAGCACACGACACAATTTCATCCTTTTTTCCTGAATCTTGTTTACGGTTAGCATTTTTCTGCACATTCAGGTTTTGAAAGTTCTCTCCAGTGATTGTGGCTTTGCTTTCCCATGATTACAATGTTTTTTGGTGGGTGTGGTTTTAAAATCTGGTCGTATACCAAAGATTGGGGCAGAGCCTATCATCTATAAGGGGAGTCCACTGTTGGTGGAGCCAGCAAATAGTTAATCTTTAAAAGAAGAACTGGCACTTTGCTCCAAATTCTTAAAAGAAGAACTGGCACTTCGCTTTAAATTCTCCTGGGAGGAAGGAATTTGCAGGCAGGAAATTTATTTTTTAAAAAAATTCTAATCACATCAAGACGTTTGGGTTATTCTCCAGAAAAAAAGGGAAAGGGTTTGAGAAGGTTTAAAGGAAAAAAGATACATACAACATTTTATATGATGTACTAAACCTGATTTATGGCTTGCTGTGAATGTTCATGATGTTGCCAGCTGCCTCCTCTCTGGTTGATGCAGTTGGGAAACCACCATTGCTGAATTGCTCAATACTTGCAGAGTCATCTGTCCAAAACTTTCACCTGTCTTAAGAGAATCACACTTAAGCGTCCAGTTAGCAAAAAGGGAAATTGGAGACTAATTTCATTGTAAGTCTTGAGCAAACCAATGGTAGATCCAGTGGGGATCAGGAGGGATAGGAGGCTTCACTTAATCATAACCTTGTTCCCTCCTCTCCCTTTAATCATTCTTCAATTTCCTTGATAATGTTAGCTGTCCTGAACACAATCATAATCAGGGTACATATTGGATGTATTTTTTTGTATTTACTTATTACAGGTAGTCCTCAACTTACAACCACTTGAAATTACAACAGTTCTGAAAAAAGTGACTTACGATGAGTCTTCACACTGACTGCCATCCCCGCCATCCCACGGTCACGTGATCAAAATTTGCAACGTTCCCAGGGACATGTGATTGCTATTTCTGACTTTCCCAGCTGGCTTCTGACAAGCAGAGTCAATGGGAGAAGCCAGATTCGCTTAATAACCATGTCATTCATTTAACAACTGCAGTGATTCACTTTAACAACCATGGAAAATCGGGTGCAACTCATTTAACAACCACCTTGCTTAGGAATGGAAATTCCGGTGTCAGCTGTGGTCATAAGTCAGGACTAACTATTTTTGACTTATACCCAGCCTTTCTTCACTGGCAAATGCTCACGATATTTCCATAGCTAAACTTAGGAGGCATCTAGGAGGAAGAACCCAACAATTTCTTGCCAGTCCAACTTAATTAGATTTTCCAGTCTGGTGGAATTCTCACATTATCTCTGGCAGAAGAAAAAGAACATTGGGAATTTATATTCATAGAAAAAAAGTGTGCAGGGAAACTTGGAATCACTTGCTATAGCTTAAAATTATGTTGAGAGGGCTGTAAAGCACTATGACGCGGTATATAAGTCTAAGTGCTATTGCTATTTCATCCAAATGTGGGAAGACTGTTCCCCGGGTGAGTAAAACTCATCTATTCTCTCTGTTCTTCCAATAATAAAAATGGAGCAGCTTCAAGTCCTCTTTGACCCCCCCCCTTTTGAAACCAGATCTAAAGGGATCAACATGCCTGACCCTCTGAACAATTCCCCCCCCCATCAAATCATTCTGTCCTAGAAAGTTGCTTGTTTTTTTAAAAAAAGCTGATACATCTCTCTTCATCTGTGGCAGCTATAACAAAAGGGAAAAAAGACAATGTGGCCCAATTTAACATTCAAACATGAACACCCTAGAAGTAATGTAATAATAACTGGGGAGTGTGAACATCCACTTCACATTCATTACATCTAGATGGATTCTTCCTTCTTTTTAATGAATGAAACAGCTGTCAGGGCTAACCATAGTTGAAATCTCTTGTTGCTCTGTCTTGAATGTGGTGTTTCAATGGGAAGGCCAGAACAGTAGCTTTTAAAAGAATCCACCTCCCAGAGATATTTCAGGCTAAATTTTTTTCTCCCTCCTGAGAAAAGCAAAGTCTTCCCATTCTTTTATATAAGAGTGGCTCAGCTGTTTGCCTTGCTATGAATTTATGGATGGTGTTTTTTAACATACCTTTTTTTTTTTTTTTTGCAACTGTTTCTTGACAGTCATGAATCATTGTTCTATTTGTACCCTGGTTTTTTTTTCCCCTCACGAGTAATTCAGAGCCATTTGCAGATGGCTTTCTGGCAGCTTCCCATTAAGGAAACTTTAGACAGGTGTCCCATTTAGTTTGTGAACCATCCATTAAGGAATGATAGCCGTCATGGCAAGATGGTGGGAGAGAGCAGAGTTGTGGACGAGAAAGGGTTGGTCCTGTATTGAAATTCTTACATTTATTAAAATTAGGGCCGCAGCCCAGTTCAAGGCTTTGAATGGATGGATGCCTGGCGGCTTTAGGCTGCAATTCTAATTGCTGTGGTTGTACCTCAGGTGTGGATCCTCTTGCTCAGAGATCAAGCAGGAAGGCTTGCTGTCCAAGGAGGTTAATACATTATGAGAAGTTTCTCCAAGGGGATGGCATAACTCTCCATACTTTGTTTTTAAAATTCTGTAACGGCTACAGAGCTCAGCTACAGCTCTTATTACTCCAGACCAGGGGTCTTCAAACTTGGCCCATTTGAGACTTGTGGACTTCAACTCCCAGAATTCCTCCTCCCAGGCATTCTGGCTGAGGAATTCTGGGAGTTGAAGTCCACAAGTCTCAAATGGGCCAAGTTTGAAGACCCCTGCTCTAGACAGCAGGGCCGAGAGCAAAGAATTTGGGAATTTGTAACTCATTAGATATTAGAATTAGTGGGAAGAGAAGTAACGAGGAAACCAAAGAGGGAATGAGAAAGTTAAATAAATCTCAAGCCTCCCTCTGGTTTCTGCCTCTGGCTTATCTGCCACAGGCCTTTCCTCACTTCTGTGAAAATGGATGTCTCTGCTTTTGGATGGAGTGTGAGTCATGCAGTATTTGCAGAGAGGTTAAAAACACACATTTCTGAGCCAGTAAAGGTATTTCTTGTCATTTAAAATAAAACACTTTGGAAGACACACACACACCGCCTAATGTGAAAGAGAAGAGGGAATAACTTTTAAGATGGAGAAAACCATTTGGAATTCTTTATAAATATTTGTATAAAAATGTTTAAAATGGTGTCTAATGAAGGACAGACTTCATTGTCTTAAATCATCTTTAAATTGCACTCCAGAAGTTGAGAAGTTTGTGGAACAGTTCCCCTTAAATCGATCAGTGGCTATTTTAGCAATACTTGGCTTTCCCCAAAAGTCCTCCTTAACTTCTCTCTCTGCACACCCCCCCCTCCCATTCCTCTGGGCCTTGCTCACGATCTGTGGTTTCAGTGACACCCTTGCGGGCCCTCTGGAAGTTGAAGAATCACAAGTTGTCTGTCAGCTGAGGATTCTTCTGCTCTAGCCACATCTTTCCGGGAAGGAGTTCTTACTCCATTTCTTCTTCTAATGGATGATTAGCAAAGCGTCTAGTATCCTTTCATGCTTTTTGTTGAGCAGTGGTCATAGAGTTTCTGAGGATGCTGACCGCAGCCTTGTGGGTCTAATGTAAAACAAACGGGAGGAAAACAGAGAGCAGCCCATATGCTAGCCCTGAACCAAATATACATAGTGCTTGACTTATGACCTCAATTGAGCCCAAAATTTCTGTTGCTAAGTGAGACATTTGTTAAGCGAATTTTGCCCCTTTTTACAACCTTTCCTGTCCCATTTGTTAAGTGAATCATTGCAGTTGTTAACTTAGTAACACAGTTGTTAAGTGAATCTGGCTTCCCCATTGACTTTGCTTGTTAGAAGGTTGCAAAAGATGGTCACATGACCCCGGGATTCTGCAACCGTCATAAATACATGCCAGTTGCCAAGTGTTTGATCACATGACCTTGGGAATCCTGCAACTCTTGTAAGTGCGAAAAACTATTGTAAGTGTGAAAAAATTGTCTTCCCTAAAACCGGTTCCTGGTGCCAAAAAGGTTGGGGACCCCACTGCTGTATGTCATATAGTGAAATGAAAGTATTGGCTATCAAGGAGTGTTGTTCTGCAGCAAGATTTGAATGCTCAGCATGTCTTCCTCAGTGAAGCCGAACTCACGTCCTTCCTGGCCAGCGTGGCCCATAATTGAAGCGCACCGGGTTTTAGAAAGCTGGTTTAGCAGCACTAGTCTGAGCTTGAAGGATGTTAAATTGGCTTCAATTGCTCAAGAGCAATTGACAATCAGTCTCCTGAGAGCTTCTATATGCTGCAGAATGTAATAGTCTCTGATATTATCTGTGATTGTTTGCTCACTCAGAAGAGCAAAAACAACACATGTGGATTTCTTGGATGGGATCCGAAAGGGCAAATAAAAACATCTCTGTGCTTGCCTGCTTTCGCCATGTTGCAACTGATTGTTCAACACTGATAGACAGTGGTTTAAAAAAAAAGAGGGGTCTGTCTGTTGATTTTTGTCAAGCATGCTGATCTGTGCAAAAAGGGGTTCACCACTCTTGGTTCCGGGAACCCAAAGGAAGACGGTGTGAGACAGCAAGAAAAATGAGGGACTTTCAGGGGCAGCTGTGTTTTACTAACCCAGTCATAATGCCCCTAAAAATCCTTATTGTTCCTTGCAATGTTCAACTATGCTCCGCAGTCAAGAAAGATTTTCAAAGGTGAGTTTCCATTGGGGGCAAATCACTTTCCATCCGACGGTGCAAGGATCCTCAGTTGTGGTCAAAGAAGAATTGCAACCCCTTCCAATCCGTACACAGCATCAAACAGATTTGAATTTTTATTTTTTTTTTGCTTTTCTGTGTTGTTGTTTGTGACAGGCACTTCCTCTCCGCAACATGCTTCTATTGAACAGACAGATACAATATTTATTAAAGAGTGTCGTGAGTTTTTCGCTGCGCTGAATGTAAATATGCACGCATACCGATCATGCTGTTCCTGTTTATAGTAAGCAGCGCTATGCAAAGTGCAAAAAAAAAAGAAGTAAGGCACAGTAAGCAAAAGAAAGGAAGGACGCACGGTAAGGAAAAAGGAGAAGAAAAAAATATTGCAACATCAGGTATATATCAACATTATGGGTATATTGTAGATCCAGAGTAGGCCAGATCTCTTACATAACTACCATATTGGACTTGCTCAAACTTTGGCAGCTTTCTTAAGAGTACATTGTGGAGCTCTGAAACCTTTATACTATAGACCCCGAAGTTTGCCAGGCGCCCTGCTGAACAAATGTCTTTTCCATGCACACGGGGTTTTGATGTGCACATGGTGTTCCCCAGAAGAGGTTAGCCAGTGTCAGAGACGGAGTTCTTTGACCTGATTCTATCAAGTCCAACATACACACCAGAAGGCCTTTTCTGCCTGAGAGCTACTGTACAACAGTTTATATCTCAGCTGGTTTCATTTTTATGAACTCGGAGCTGAGGTATGTTCCTCTGAACAAGGTTGTGCAAATATTCTCTGCCAAGACTATTAAGACTGTGCCAAGAAAAGCTGCATTTCTCTCTCTCTCTTTCTCAGGAAAAGACTAAAAAATTTTGCATATGCATTTCTGATTTAAAAGAAAAAGAATTATTTTTGCTTGTTGCCTAGCTCTTGGCTTCAGCTAGGCTTAAGGCAGAACAATATGAAGTACTCAAGTGTTTCTCCTAACTGCTAAGAATCACGCTCAACTTCCTCTCCCATCACTGTGCGTGTATTTCCATACAGCCTTGCTGTTGAAAGTGCTCAAAACTTGATTGTTAAAATTCTAAATTCTATATCCTTTCTTGCATTTTTTTGATGGATAGATAGGGCTGCAACTCTAAAGATGTATCTTAGGAAGTATTGGGAGCATCCTAGATCTATTTCTAAATTCCTTTAGTCTGCAGAGGGATCGTAACATTTGTGCTTAAATATGTGACTTTTCCTATCGTAGATTTCTTCTGGCAGCTAATCTATTTTATCCTTTGTTGTTATTGTTGGTCCATAGGGCTCTGCTTCCAAGAAGCATTTCTTGAGTGACAGCTGTACAGAACATGACAACTTCTAGCCGTGCTGCAAAATTACAGTTGCACAAGGCAATCTTTTTGTATTAAATTCCTTGACTGCTTTCAAGACGTAATGCTATTCCCAAGAAGAGGACGTCTACAGGATTGTCTATCTGGTACAAAGATGGGGAATTTGTCACTGTTCTAGATTTTGCAGAGTTACTATTCTTTTCATCCCAAACAGCACAGCTATGGAGAGGAAAACCAGGAGTTGTAATTCAAGAAATTCTGGAAAAGCAAAAATTCCCCACTCCTTATCTAGGCCTTTTTTAGTTTTTGGTTAATTTGGCTGAGTCTTTATCTAAGGCTGTGTCTTTCCTGTTGTTACAGGTGGTCCTTGACTTAAAACCATTCATTTAGCAACCATTTGAAGTTACAGTGACACTGAAAAAAGTTACTTATGACTGGTTCTTGCACTTATGATTGTTGTAGCATCCTCACAGTCTGTGACCAGAATTTGGGCACTAGGCAACAGGCATGTACTTACAGCTATTGCAGCGTCCTGGGGTCAAGTGACCATCATTTGCAACCTTCCCAGCTGTCTTCGGACAAGCAAATTCAATTGGTGAAGCTGGATTCACTTAACAAGGAGCAGGGATTCACTTAACACCGTGGGGAAAAAAAAGGTTGTAAAATTGGCACAACTCACTCAACAACTACCTTGCTTAACAATGGAAAAATTCTCTTCCCAATTGTGGTTGTAAGGCAGGGACTGCCTGTACTACATGAATGAGGTTGGAAGATTTGACACCTTAGGTTAGCTGAAAACAATCATTAACCTTGAAACCCCCCAGATGACATGAACAGTAGTCTACATCACCTCTGACACACAATTGGGAAGGGTGGGACTTGTAGTCCAGTGCATTTGGAAGGCACCAACTGGGACAAGGTTTCCTACAGAGATGAGATCACCCTGAAGAGCTCCCAATGTGAATGCCTGTACCTTGAACAGGTAACTTCAGCTTTATCAGCATCTTAAAACAGGTAAGCAGAAAAGCAACTGTTCAACTGTTGACTGAGGAAAAGATGCCCCAAAGACTGCTTGGTTAGGCTATTCCTATGCAGCTCTAGATGCTGGATCAATCACTTACTTTGAGGAAGGACATATAGATGCAACTATTTTTTTTATTTATTTGCTTTACATGAAGGGCACAATGGCTCGGGTTAAGACGCTGGGCTTGCCGGCTGTAAAGTTAACAGCTCAGATTCAAGACCTAAGGGCCACGTGACGGGTGAGCGCCTGTTATTTGCCCCAGCTCCTGCCCACCAAGCATTTCGAAAGCATACACATGTGAGTAAATAGGTACCACTTCAGTGGGAAGGTGACAGCATTTTGTGAGTCTTGCTTATAGCCATGCTGGTCATATGAGCATGGAAATGTCTTTGAACAACACTGGCTCCCTCGGCTAGGAAACAGAGAAGAGTCGGACATGACTGGACGGGGGAAACTTTTACCTTTTTTTAAGGGTACATGCTTTTCCAAATGATACCCAGATTGTTGGGGGCAATGTAAATATATATATATATACATTGCTTACTGGTGTACACCGCTTAGAGAGTGCTTGCACTTAAAGCGGTATATAAGTCTCATAAATAAATAAATAAATAAATAAATATCAAGGCATTTGCTGCTGGCTTTTCTAATGTGTTAAATGCTGTATTGTACACCGAATGCTGTCAAAATAAACACGACTTACAACAAATGCTTCGGATTACTCAGTTCATTGTATTTGCACTCTACTACCGTTCTCCAGGAAATTCAGTGAAGCAAATATGAAATCATTTCATTTTGCCCCCATGAAGCAGGCTGTTTTTTGGGGGGGGGGGGTTGAGCAGAGAGAATTACAACTAAACAATGATTTGGATCCACGTTTCCAGATGAAATCTATCAAGACACAAAGAATTAAAAACATAGGGTTTATTTCAGGATTTCTTCTTTCTTTCTGACTAGATGTACTGTAGAGAACAGACTAGAGAAAGGAAAAGATATTTGGATATTAATGACAGATGCTTATTCTCTGGACAGTATCCAGTTTTCTTAAAAAGATCTGGTGAAGATTAAATTGGTTGTTTCCAAGTTATTTAGGCTTGGATGTTACTTACTAATTGCTTTCTGCTTGGATACATACAAATACTAAGTGTCATGACAAAGAGAATAATTACACCTAACCCCAATGAGGTCTTCAGGTAATCAATATTTTTGTAATCATTGGTGGGGGGTTTGTTTCTTTTTTGAGGTTTTTTTTGGTCTGTGGTGTTTTTGTTTTTGTTTTTGTTTTGCAATTTTAGTCCGGAGTCCACTGAGCAGAGTATGAATATAAGGTTTCTAAAAAGTGGGTGGAGGGGACGTTGTCATCCTACTAATCATATTCAGACATACCCCAAGAGATGGAATTGCAATAAATTGATAGTAGACTGAAGAAAGTCATTGATGCAATGCATAATTAATTTGATTTTTTTAAAATAAAAAGGTTTCTTATACCAATATGTATTCAAAGTTTTAGACAGCTGTCTCAATAGAGAGTGATGATATTTCATTGTAATCCATATATAATCTATCACTGTAACCAATTTATTCATCACAACTAACATCACATTTTCAAGACACTAATTCCATATATTAATACTTTTTCCAGTGTTGAAGAACCAACATGCAGTAAAATGTGGTAATGTTTTTTGCCCCTCTGGGTAGGATGAGAGTTTTAGTCCAACATGCCTGAAGGAAGGCTGGTTGAGAGGTTTTAAAGAGTGAAGTTACAAATGAGGATAAGATCCTGGTCAATACTTGTAAAGAAAGAAAAGTATTTCAAGTTAACTCCATTTCCTGAGAATGTCCATGGAGTTTCCTTGGCAACATAGTTTGCTAGTGATGTCTTTTGGGACTTATTTAATTTTTTAAAATTCCAGTCATGTCAATGGCCCTCAATGTCCTGCTTGGTCTGTCATCTGCATCTTCAAATTTTGGTGACCACTCCCAACACCCACCTCACCTCACTTCCCAACAGGTTGCCTCTTTAGCAAATGTTCCCACTAGAGCTTTTTTTCCCATCTACGGTTTGGAAATGCCTCCTATTGGTACAGAGGTGAGAAGGAAGGGTCAGTCTGTTTTTGTTGGCACAGCCTGTGGATGTGATTAGCTTTATCTGTGTTTGAGTTGTGTTGAACACAGCAGAGGGAGCATTACCTCACTGTGCATCAGGCTGCAGACCAGAAAGCCATTACTCTCACATATTTTTAGCGCTACAAACAGGAAAAGGCCTGCCACGGCTATGGATGTTTGAGGATGCTTTCCTTTCTGCCCTTTGCTTTTTCTTTGCCATATCATATTTATCCTCTTGTTGCAAGGCACCGTAAAGCCAATGATGACCCTTTGTCTGGAAAAGGAAATGATCGCTTGTTGTTCCTTATGTGGGAATAATTTTCCTCAGCTTCCTTTGGATCATAAATCATGGTGGCTGTTAAGACGAGGAGGAACGCTGCAGGCCTCCCCTCCACAGCTAGACAGTACGGTTCCTCTTGGAAACCAGCATAATCTCTGGTGTCAGTTGCGGAGGGGGGTATCTTATTTTTCCCCACACCTGGATGTTTTAAGTGCTTTGGGAGGAGGTGATTGTATTTTGCTGTACAGATTTTTTTCAGGGCATTAAATGAATGTTTTTCTTTACCTGTCCCATTTTGCTCAGAGATTTCCAACTTTGGGGGGGGGGGCAGATGGTTCCACTTGGGGTATTGAGAATGCATTTTGGCTGTCCCACAAAATGGCCCTTGTGGAGGGCCTGGCCAGGCACCAAGCATCTATTACCAAACATTTTATTCTACACTGCCTAGAGTCCCTCTGGGAGGAGGGTTCAAAAATGTTATAGATAGATGACAGATAGATTAGATTAGATTAGATTAGATTAGATTAGATTAGATTAGATTAGATTAGATTAGATTAGGTGGGTGGGTGGATGGATAGATAGATAGACGATAGATAGATAGATAGATAGATAGATAGATAGATAGATAGATAGATAGATAGATAGATAGATAGATAGATAGATAGATATTTACCAGACAACAAAGTGAGAAAAGCTTTTCCTTAACTAGCTTCTAGACTCCTGAGTGGCTCTTTACATTAACAAACTTTGATTTAGATCAGGGATCTCCAAGCTTGGCAACTTCAAGATTTGTGGACTAACCAGGATGGCTGGCTGAGGAATTCTGGGAGTTGAAGTCCACAAGTCTTAAATTTGACAAGGTTGGACACCCCTGGTTTAGATTTTCTGGATAGGTGGGCACATTCACTAAGCTGTCTTTAGGCTGCACTAGTTTTATAGCATGTAGCACCCCCTTTTTTAATTAAATCATCGACAGGCACCTGCTAGGTGTCAAGGCAAGGGCTGATAGGCCTCTGGTATCCACCACCTCACCCTGGGAACAAGTCTGCCTCCAGATGTTAGAGGTTTGTGTATCTGCCAGCCTTCTCTTAAGATTGAAGTTTGTTCTGGTTCAGCATCAAGCAAAGCTCTGGAGGCAGATCCTTTACACAAATAGACACTTTATATATGGAATACGTAGCCAGTTCTTGACAATATAACCAACTCTGATCAGAGGCTGGGTGAAGCCACATATTATCGCAGGCCTGAAAGAACCTTATTCTCAGGTTAGTCTTTCATGTGATTGTTCCATGAATAGGGTATTATTTCTTTTCCATGCAATAACTGGGTTCTCCCCTCTTACTAATTTGTGGTTTGCTTTGGCCATGCTTGATGGAAGAAACCAAGGAGGCTTGGTTCACCCATCACACTAAGCCATAAGACATGGCTCTTAAGCCTCAACCACTTCATTCCTACAATATATAATCCAAAGCAAAGAGGCCTTTGGCAGAAATGGAGAGTCTCAATTCTTTTGACAATCAAAGAAGGAGATCCTGAAGCAGAGGGAACTGGGGTTGATGCGAAAGACATTCCTTAGCAACCACCACTAGATTAAGTTACTTTTTTATTCTCCCAGATAGTTTAAGCATTTCGGTTGAAAAGTAGCTTCAGGTAAGTATTTTTCCTTGCAGTGATTTCACTGGTGGTAGAACAGGAAGTGGTGAAAATGTTGTTGCACGTTCCACACATTCCCAATGCGATGCTTGTGTAAAGCTACCAGCTGATTAGAGAACATTCAGCAGATTAATCATCAGCTTGTTGACAGATTGATCAATTAATTCATTGGTTGGGTGTTAATCTGTTGTAGCAGAACATCAATAAAATTGCCATTCAGAAATAATCAAGGAGATCTGGAATACAATTCAATCAAAAGAAATTCATTTCTTGTTGGGTTTTCTCTCTTATTTTCTTTTACTTTCCTCTTTAAATTTAAATTTAATAAATATTAATTAATTTATTTCCTCTTTACTATACTGCAAGGTAGCTGAACTGAAACAGCCACTCCACAGTAACATCTGTAATTTTCAGATCTGCTGAAAGTTTAAATTAAATGTTATTGATTTATTAACCTAAAGCTTTAATTTACTAATTGATATTTATTTATTTTTTAAAAATGGGTTTATCGCTTCATTATTCATTAAAATATATTTTATATTTTTTTCTTATTGGAGGCAGCCATCCTAATTCACATTTTCTAGGAGTTGCTGTAAGGAAAAATTGGAGGTCAATATGTTTCTTCCTGTTGGTGTAAAAAGCAAGTGCTGCTATTAGTTTGGCAATTTATTCACAAGAAATCACTAGACCAGAGCAGAACATTGCCTTTGTGGTGTTTGTTTGTTTATTAAAAGAGTTCAGATAGTCACCCATCTACCAAAAGGAACTTGGGAGGAGGGGAATAAAATGCAACTACACTATACAATACAACAATACTTTAAAGAAATAAACAATGTTGAGGTCCCCACCAACCACACCATGTATTAGCTATATCAATATCCTGATCTCAGTACCTTGGGGAAAAATCCAGATCCTTGTTGCTATAATAGATGGACAAATGACTAGAATATGTTAATGGTGGATGAATTATAGTAGGAATGGTAAACCTTGAATTTAGCCACTCCTCTGAAGTATGTATGTTTAGGATTAGTATGAACGATAGCAAGCAGTAGACGTGTGCATTCTCGTTCTTTTGAAATCCCTGTCTTGTAGAGAACTAGTTGAAACACATTGCCTTGGTGATAAGAAAGTTGCAGCCTATAATAAGTCATAATTTACAACAGGCAGCTTTTAATATTAAGCAGCACTTTGTATAAGCTTGTTTATAAGTCGCACACAGCTTTTGCTCATCACTGTTGATTTAATAATGCGTGGTCTCTCTCTGTGTGTGTGTGTGTGTGTGTGTGTGTGGTAAATGTTTACATCATGTGAAATGAGGGAGTGTACGTGTATGCAGTTATTTCTAAAGCTAGGAACTGATTTAATCATTTCTGATTCTTTTTTTTTTCTTTCTGTTCATGGTGGAAAGTAAGTGCAGTGATCTGAGTGTTGAAATAGTTGTGCAAGACTCCTCATTCACCTACCCCCCAGTCTGAACACCTTCACATATCGAGAGGATAATTTCCTTAATGTAACAATTCCTGGGCATTCAAGTTCTAAAACCTCTGGAGGGCATCCAGCTTGGAGAAATTGGTTTAAGGCAGGGGTCCCCCACCCCCCAAACTGTGGACCATTACTGGTCCGTGGTCTGTTAGAAACTGGACCATGCATGCGGCAGGCGGGTGAGCAAA